CAAATAGATTGATTAAATAATTTAAAAAATATAGTTGCCTAATTTTTCCCCTTTATAAAACAATTAGATAATTTTTGTGCTTTAAATAAAATGAATTGACATTAAACTGCAAATATGAGGGTAAAAAAGGACCTAAGCCAATAAAAAAGGGGGCGAAGAGCTTTGTTTGTATTTTAAAACATGTCTATGGTTTAAATATTTGACTCTTTAGTGAATTGATGTCATCAGTTATGTTTTCGGTTGTCCTGAAAAGAGACAAAAAATAAAAAAGTAAACTAATATTCATTTTAAGCCAAATTGTTAGATAATATTTATAATTCATAATGTGTGATGACAAGTGACCTAATTAAGTGGTTTAATGTCACTTTATTAAATGAGTCAAAATGTAGCCAGCTGTGATATTCCATCTATTGATTCATGAGCTTTATTTTGCTAATAGACTAACACAGTTGACTCCAAAAGTTACTACATTTAAAATAATTCTCCTTCATCTGTTAGCACTTAAACTTCAGGTCAACATCTGACTTGTTGTTGTATCCCACCCCACACACACACAGACGCTAAAAACCTCAATGTCTGCATTCATCTTTTGGTGATGAAGCTCCATTTTTAACACAGAGGTGAGGCCTTCACTCAAAATTGATCCAATGATTTCTAGGTGAATAAAACAAATTCATGTGTCTTTAGTCTTTCTCTATTATTCTGGTTGTGTTGTATCAGTTGTATCAGTAAAGAGAGAAAACATATCTCATTTTTTGTGTTTTTCTGTATGACTTGAAAGACACAGTGTGTAGGATTTTGTCAAATCTTTTAGCCGAAATTGAGATAATCACTAATGACAATAATAAAAAACATGTCTAATCACTGCAGACAAAGACCTTGTTTTATTATTTTTACCTTATAAAAAGCTGTTTATATCTCCATTTTTTATGTTTCATAGGTTATAATAGAACTTTTTTTATTAGAATCAAAATGAAGAACAATGTAAAATAGAGGACAGTAAAACATCTGCCAGGGGGTTAGTTTACAAGCTTTGAGACAATTTTAAAATAAAGACACAAAGACTTGAAAAAGATCACATAAGGCACAGGTTTTAGTAGCTTTCGTATTTATAGAATGTCTAATAGTTGTAATATATTGTTTGWCTTCGTTTAAGAAAATAGAAAGAAGAGGTTTTTGATTAGTGTAGCCGCATTTGTGAATATGCCATTTGGCTAAATATAATAAGATTGATAATATAAAACTGTTTTTCTTTGGTAAGTGGATGGTCAGTGAAGCCAAACAATACATGTTCAAA